CCTGATTCTGAGGTCATTTACTCAAAATATTGACCGAAGTCAAACTTGGCCCTTTAGGCCAACCTTAAGGAACCAAGTGTTCCAGTTTCAACCCAAACTCTTACAATTCTCGAACCAACCATCCCTGCAAGTCATAAATCAGTTAAAGCAAGTATGAGAAGTCTTATTTAGGGGAACAAGGTTCTAGAAAACAAAATGACCAGTCAGGTCGTTACATTTTCCGACTCTTAAACAAACGTTCGTCCTCGAACGGGTTTATATTCCTACCTGAAGTGCTAAACAAGTGTGGATATCTGTTATACATGTCCTCCTCGGACTCCCAGGTCACCTCCTCGATTGGTTGGCCCTTCCGCTTGAGTTTTATCGCAGAAATCCTCTTGGATCTCAACTGGCGATCCTTTCTATCAATAATGGTAACTGGCTACTCCTCATAGCCCAAGCTCTCATCTAGCTGAATAGTACTGAAGTATAACATATGAGACAAGTCGGCGTGATACCTCTGAAACATAAACATGTGGAAAAATGGATGAACTCCTGATAATCTGGGAGGTAAAGCGAGCTCGTAAGCAACCTCTCCAACTTACCTCAACACCTCAAATGGGCCTATAAACCTGGGGCTCAACTTGCCCTTCTTCCAGAATCTCATAATACCCTTCATCGGCGAGACTTTCAAGAGAACTTTCTTGCCGACCATGAATGATACATCGCGTGCCTTCTAATTTGCGTAACTCTTCTGTTTGGACTGTGCTGTGCGAAGTCTTTCCTGAATCAACTTTACCTTTTCCAAGGCATCTTTCACCAAGTTTGTACCAACAACTTAGCCTTATCAGGCTCAAACCACCCGATAGGAGAACGACATCACCGACCATATAAAGCCTCAAATAGAGCCATCTCGATGCTGGACTGATAACTATTATTGTAAGCAAACTCAGCCAAAGACAAGAACTGATCCCACTTCCCTCCAAAGTCAATCATACATGCTCTTAAGCATGTCCTCCAAAATTTGAACTGTCCGCTCCGACTGTCCGTTGGTCTGAGGATGGAATGTTGTGCTGAGCTCCATACGGGTCCCCAACTCACTCTGAACAACTCTCCAGAAATGTAAAGTGAACTGAGGGCCTCTATCTTATATGATGGAAACAGGCACATCGTGCAACCGAACTATCTCCCGAATGTAGATCTGAGCCAACCTCTATGAAGTATAAATGGTCACAACCGGAATAAAGTATGCTGACTTGGTCAACCTGTCGACAATAACCCACACCGCATCAATCTTCTGCAAGGTCCGCGGCAACCCAACTACGAAGTCCATAGTAATGCGCTCCCTCTTCCACTCAGGTATAGGCATCTGCTGAAGTAGGCCACCTGGCCTCTGGTGCTCATACTTAACCTGCTGGCAATTCAAGCATCTAGCCACATACTCAACTATGTCTTTCTTCATCCGCCGCCACCAATAATGCTGCTTCAGGGCCCGATACATCTTTTTAGCACTTGGATGAATGGAATACCGTGAAATGTGTGCCTCCTCTAGAATCCTCTCCCTCAAGCTATCGACATTAGGGACATGCAGGCAACCTTGGAGTCGCATAACACCATCCTCGCCAATAAAAACCTCCTTGGCATCCTCTCTGAGAACTGCCAAATATGGATCATCAAACTGGTGAGCCTTGATCATCCCAATAGAGAAGACTGAGCAATAATACACGCGAGGACCTGGTTGGGCTCTGAAATGTCCAGCCTTACAAGTCTGTTAGCCAAGGATTGAATGTTCAAAGCTAGTGGTTTCTCCTCTACCGAAATGAATGCCAAGCTACCCATACTCTCTGCTTTCCTGCTTAAGGCATCTGCGACCACATTTGTATAGTCCTTCAATAACTCAAGCCATCTATGCTGCCTCAAATTAAGATTCCTCTACTTGAACAAGTGCTGCAAACTGCGGTGGTCCATATAAACCTCACAGGACACCCCATACAAGTAATGCCTCCAAATCTTAAGAGCATGAACAATTGCTGCCAACTCCAAATCGTGCACAGGGTAATTCTTCTCATGAACCTTTAACTGACGTAAAACATATGCAATAACTCGCCCCTACTACATCAATACGCATCCTAGGCCAACACGCGAAGCGTCGCAATAAACTGTATACATCCCCAAACCAGAAGGCAGTACCAGAACTGGTGCTATGGTCAAAGCTGTCTTGAGCTTCTGAAAGCTTGCCTCACACTTGTCGGACCAATAGAAAGAGGTACATTTCTGGGTCAATCTAGTCAAATGTGTTGCAATGGATGAAAAACCCTACTCAAATCGGCGATAATAACCTAATAACCCCAGGAAACTCCTGATCTCTGTCACTGAAGTAGGACATGTCCAACTCTGAACTGCCTCAATCTTCTTAGGATCCACCTTAATACCTTCTCCGGATACAACATGTCCCAAGAATTCTACTGACTCAAGCCAAAACTCACACTTATAGAACTTGGAATATAGCTTCTACAGTGTCTGAAGCACTACTCTTAAATGTTGCTCGTGCTCCCCCAGATTACGTGAGTAGATCAAGATATCGTCAATGAAGAAAATAACAAAGGAATCAATATAAGGCAAAAACACTCTGTTCGTCAAGTCCATGAACATCGATGGGGCATTAGTCAAGTCGAAAGATATCACCAGGAACTCATAATGGACATATCTAGTACGGAAGGCAGTCGTCGGGACATCTGAGTCCCGAATCTTCAGCTGATGGTACCCTGATCTCAAGTCGATATTAGAAAACACCCTAGCACCCTACAACTGGTCAAACAAATCATCGATCCGAGGCAATGGGTACTTGTTCTTGATGGTGACTTTGTTCAACTAGTGGTAATAAATGCACATCCTCATAGTCCCATCCTTCTTCTTCACAAATAACACTGGTGCACCCCAAGGTGATACACTGGTCTCACAAATCCCTTTTCTAACAACTCCTCAAGCTGCTCCTTCAACTCTTTCGGAGCTATATGGTACAGTGGAATAGATATAAGTTGGGTACCTGGAGCCAACTCAATGCAAAAATCAATGTCACGATCTGGTGGCATGCCTGGAAGGTCAGAAGGAAACACATCGGTGAACTCCCAAACTACTGGCACTGAATCAATCATTGAGGACTCTACGGTGGTGTCCCGAACATATGCTAGATACGCCAAACAACCCTTCTCGACTAGATGCCGAGCCTTCAAAAAAGAGTTAACCTGACTAGATGAACTAACGGAGGAACCCTTCCACTCTAAGCTTGGCAACTCTGGCATCACTAAGGTAACAGTCTTGGCATTACAGTCAAGAATGGCATGATATGGAGATAACCAATCCAAGCCCAAGATCACCTTAAAGTCGATCATGTCAAGTAACAGGAGATCCGATCTAGTCTCGTAACTATAGAGGGTAACCATACAAGACCGGTAGATCTGATCCACAACCATAGAATCACCCACAAGAGTGGACACATAGATAGGAGTACCCAAGGACTCACGAGGAATATCCAGGAAATGAGCAAATAGAGATGACACATATGAATATGTAGACCCTGGATCAAACAATACCGAAACATCCCTACTGCAGACAGAAATAGTACCTATGATCATGACATCTAAGGCCATTGCATCTGGTCTGGATGGAAAAGCATAGAATCTGGCTGAAGTGCCAGCTGGCTGGCCTCCACTGGGCTGAGCAATGGCTCACTAACCTCGTCCTGTCTGGCCTGCACCTCTAGGACGGCCCCTGCCAGCCTGTCCTCCACCTCTAGGCGGCCGGACGACTGGTGCTGTGATCATAGGCTGATAACCCTACTGTACTGCCTTGCCCTAAAGTCTGGGACAAAATCTCTTTATGTGACATGGATCTCCACACTTATAACAACCTCGCAGTGCCATAGACTGTTGTCCTGAAGCCTGAGCCTACTATCCTGAATACCCACTAGAAGAACCCTGAATGGCTAGTGGGCAGTATGAACTCTCTAGCATAGCACTGAAGTAAGAACTAGAAGAACCTGGATGACCAGAATACCCGCCAGCGGAACCCTGAATAGCTGGTGGGCGGTAAGAACTCTCTGGCACCGCACTAAAATAAGGCCTCACTGGAGCACCTCGAGGAGGTGGTGGTGGTGCTGAATATGGGGTCCTGCTGGGCTGACCCCTCCCAAAGTGACCTCTGCCCCTAGCTAGGGCACCTCTAAACTCTCTAAAGAATCGGGTCCTCTTATCCTGCCGTAACTGCTCTCTACCCCTCTACCGGTAACCCTCAATCCTCCGAGCAATCTCCACTACTAGCTAATACTCAGTCCCCATCTCAACCTCTCGGGACATGCTAGCTTGAATACTAGGGTGTAGCCCCGCAACAAATCCACACACTCTCTCTATATCTGTAGGGAGTATCATGAGTGCGTGGCGAGACAACTAAGAGAATCTTGCCTCATAGTCGGTCACAGAAATCTAACCCTACTCGAGCTACTCGAACTGCCACAGTAACTCTTCCCTTTGAGAGGGTGGAATATACTTGTCCAATAGAAACTGTGTAAACTGATCCCAAGTCATAGGAGGAGAACCTGCGGGTCTGCCGAGAAGATAAGACTACCACCATCTACGGGCCTTGCCCTCTAACTGGAAGGCTGGAAATCTACTCCATGGGACTCCAATATCCTCATGTTGTGCAGTCTGTCCCTGCAACTGTTAATGAAATCTTGGACGTCCTCATGACTCTCACCTCCAAAGATAGGAGGGTGCAACATAGTCCACCTGTCCAATAACTTCTGCGGATTGCTGTCCACATCTGGTCTAGGCTCAGGTACCACTGCTGCAACTGGCTGAGCACCGCCCATGGATAGAGTACCCGGAGTCTGATATACGGCCGCTGCATGCCCATGAGCCTGAGAAGTAGGGGTTTGTGCTCCACCTCTTACCTGAGATGTGGCTGGGTCTGTTGGAAATAAACAAGCCTAGGTCATAGAGTTCATGAACCACAACATATAGCCCATGACCTCCTGGAAGCTTGGTGCCGTCATGAAATCCGCAAGGGCAGGTGTTGCTGCGGACACCTCACCCTACTCCTCAATAATGGGATCCCCTGCTGGATCTGTTGGTGGTGCAACTGGGGCAGCTCTACGATGCCCTCGCCCACTACCTCAAGCCGGTGCCCTACCCCGGCCTTTGCCTCGGCCTCTAGCAATGGGGGGAACAGCTCCTCCCGGGTCTAGAACATATGTCGTGTACGTACTCACCATCTGTGAGAGAATAGAAGAAGGAAATTTAGTATACCATCAATTGCACGATAGAAGATTAATAAAGAGTAGTTTCCTAACACCCTATAGCCTCTCGAAGATAAGTACAGATGTCTCCATACCGATCCACAAGACTCTACCAGGTTTGCCTATAACTTGTAAGACCTATGTGAACCTAGTGCTTTGATACCAAGTTGTCACGACCTAATTTTCAATACACATCGCGATGGCGCCCAACACCAAGGTTAGGCAAGAAAAACTTAACCAACTAGTGGGTTTTATTTATGTTACAAAAACATTTCCAACGTTTACTTAGATTAAATTTAAAACATTCAATAATAATAAATAGTTTAGGCAATTTAAAACTGAAGTGACCAAATGATGTCATAATTAAGTGATTACATTCCAAAAGAATAGTCTACTAATATGTGTGCCAAGACCTGGTGTCACAAGTATATAGACATCTAGTAGAATATACAAAAGAATATATCTATCCTACTGCCTGAAATAGAATAGACAGTCAAAAATAAAAGAGATACTCCATCATGCTACTGAACGGCATCGGAAAGGAACAATTCACCATGCAATCTCGGCCAACTATCAAGAATGCGCACCAGACGGGTAGCCAGATGAACCTGCCTCAGATCCTCTACAACTAAGTACAGAAGCGTAGTATGACTACATAAACAATATTTACCCAGTAAGTATCTAGTCTAACCTCGAAGAATTAGTGACGAGGGGTCGACTTGACACTTACTATTGTCAATGATGTGATAATATGAAGTTAAATATTTCAATTTACAATGTACATAGATAGGAACAAGTTCAAATAAGAAATAATACTGAAAANCGAACGGCTTGCTCCCATGAGAGTAGTGAAAATAATCACCCCGCTTGCGGAATATACTTGCGACGCGGTTAAGTAGAAATACAACTTAAATGCTTCTTTAATTCTTTTCAAAATAGTTATTTACTTGAAATCCTTGATATCATAACATTCTCAACGAGGTTTCAATCAATGCAATTCAATATTTTATCATCATATAACAATACCCACAAAGCATGGTGTAAGCCTAGAACTACCCGGACATAACAGGAATAGTAGCCACGTATGGACTCTCATCACTTCATGCATACGTAGCCCCCCACAATTCAAATCACATATTAATTAAATTTACCTATGGGGAGATTTCCCTCTTACAAGGTTAGAAAAAAGACTTACCTCTCTTCACGGTCTACTTTCTGGCCCAAGCTTAAGCCCAAACCCTCAATTTGGTGCCAAACACTCCAAAACTATCCAAATAGCATAGAAACTAATCAATATAGGCTTAAACGTTCATACCCTAACCATTAGAGTGATTTTCCAATCCAAATTACAAGATTCCTAATATTTATCCCCGGGACCACGTGCCCGAATTCTAGAAATATTTGAAGAAAGTTGTTACCCATAGCCTAAGGATCGAGAATATATGATTTTTACTCTATTCCATATCAAATTTCATGGTTAAATCTTGTTTTTATCAAAATCCTAGGTTTTACTCTAATCCCATAATTTTTACTAATTTTTGTGTGTTAGTCTACCCAAAAACCAAGTATTAAACTCACATTAAGTAGAAGTAACTTACCTCACAATTGCTAGGTTGAATTCCCCTTTTTGAAAGCTCTCAAATAACCCAAGGATACAATAAATGACCCCAACTAAGCTTAAATCCCAATTTTAAACTTACTGCCTAGCTGCCCTCCTTCATCGCGAACGCGATAGGGGCCTCGCATTCGCGAAGGCTATCGGTTCAAGCCTTTTGAAGGGTCTTCATCGCAAATGCGTCCATGGACTCGCGAACGCGACGAACAAAGCTGACCATGCCCAGCTACTCTACTCTACGTGAACGCGAGTCGCCTCACACAAATGCGAAGGTCACTGACCCAGACCTTCGCAAACGCAGAATATCCGTCACGACCTGTATTGAAAATTGGGTCATGAAATCCACCTTCTTATGAACATACAGACAGACATGACCATACCGATTTCTCCCCGAATGCCTTGTTCTCTAAACATCATCATATTCCTGCTAATACCCTGGTTCATGATAGTCAATATTTGGTAAGTAGCATACACAATGATATTGAACCATATTCATTTGAGGAAGCTGCTCTAAACCCTGCTTGGCAAGCAGCTACGGTTTAGGAGTTTGAAGCCCTTTATGCCAATAATACATGGGACCCGGTACCTCTGCCTCATGGAAAGAAGGCAACAAGATGTAAATAGGTATATAAAGTGAAGCACAAAGCAGATGGAAACATTGAAAGGTTTAAGGCTAGGTTATTAGTGAAAGGCTACACACAACAAGTAGGAGTGGAGTACACAGAAATATTTTCCCCAGTGGGGAAGATGACTACAATTAGGACACTTATTGCAGTTGCAGTAAAGAGTGGGTGGAACATCTTCCAATTGGATGTAAATAATGCATTCCTTCATGATGACTTGCATGAATAGGTGTACATGAAAGTCCCACTAGGACTTTTGGTAGATACCCAAGGATTGGCCTGTAAATTGAATAAATCTCTGTAGGTTTGAAATAGGCAAGTATACAACGGTATGATAAATTAACCGAGGTATTGTGTTCAAGGGGATATAAACATTCTATAAATGACTACTCATTGTTTTCCAAGAGGAAGGGGGACTTAGTTGTATATGTAGCAGTTTATATTGATGATGTTCTACTTATAGGGACAGACCAATCAGAAATGCACCAGCTGAAAACTTTCCTACATAATAAGTTCAAGATCAAGGATCTGGGAAAGTTACACTATTTCTTAGGCTTGGAGGTTTTGTACATGGCAGATGGTGTTATTATCTCACAAATGAAGTTTGTTCTTGAATTACTAAAGGAGTATGACTGCCTGGAGTACAGTACTCTCACTTCACCCCTTGATCCCAATGTGAAACTAAGAGCAAAAAGAGATGTGCCTTTAACATACCCTACTTACTATAGAAAGCTAGTTGGAAAGCTGAACTTCCTCACAAACACAAGGTTGGACATTGCTTTTAGTGTGCAACACCTCAGCCAATTTATGCAGGACCCTAGGGAACCCCATTTGAAGGCTGCTTTCCATATGTTGAGATACCTCAAAACTGATCCTACTCTGGGTGTGTTTCTTCCTAGTGATACAGACTGGTCCATCAAAGCTTATTGTGATTCTGACTAGGCAGCTTGCCCAGACTTAAGAAAATCTGGTAGTGGCTATATTGTATTGCTGAAAGTAGTCCCATCAGCTAGAAATCCAAGAAGCAAGAGACAATTTCATTGTCTTCAGCAGAAGCTTAATACAGATCCTTGAGAAAAGGGGTTGGGGCTAGTTTGGTTGAAAAGATTACATGATAAACTGATAGTTCCCTCTCCTGCTCCTATTAGAGTATTTTGTGATAGTGAGTCAGCTTTACACATAGCAAGGAACCCAGTGTTTTATGAACGTACCAAATATATCGAAGTATACTTCTACCTTTGATAGCATCCTAGGAAGTATATTCAAGGACAAAGATGAAGCTTTGGAATCTCAAAAAGGGCTTTTAACAAGATCTCAAGCTAAAAAGTTACAAAACAAGGTCATTGGACTTCAGGAGCGAACAAAGAAATTGTTAGTTGGGAGGAAGATCTTAAGGATAAAGGATATGAGTTATCTAGGTGTTATAATTATTTTATGACCCAAATTCATGTCCAAGAAGAGGTGGATTAGATCCCAAGAAACATCCTCTGAAGAAGATCCAAATCATGCCACTGTTGGACCAAATTGGCACCTAAAATGTATCCAAACTTGCAGCCCATGAAGTCTTACATAAAGCACATTTTTATAACATAAAATGGACTTAATTGATGTCCAAGAAGGGTACAATAGGCGTGCTAGATGTTGAGTGCAAGTTGGTGCCAAGTTGCTTGCAAATTTCCTTCAAGATTTTCAAGATTCTATCCAAGATTGGTTTAATAATTATTTTCATATATTCTGGGACTATATTTATTGCTTTACTAATTAGTTAAGGTTATTGTTTTTCTAAGGTAGTCAGACTTGTTGTCCAAAGTAGTTTAGGACTTTATTTTCTTATTTTTTTAGGTAGAATTTCGTGACCCCTCTCTATATAAAGGGGTATCTTCTTTGTTTTTAGACTTAGATTATGATGGTATTATCAATAAAAATTGTGAGATTTTTCTTGCAGTCTTGTGTGTGACTACTCTTGGATTTATTCTTCAACATTCAAGACTCAACTTAAGGTGGTAAGATTAAACTCTATTCGAACTCTTAGATCACTTCTAGGTATTCAATAAAAGTGATAAGTTTAGGTTTATTGTTGTTCTTGTTATTCTAAAGGGTCAAGTTTCATAATCTATTTCTTGTTTTAATTCTCTATCAAAGGCGATTAGTTTTTCGTTAGCTAATTGTTGTTGTTAGGATTCAACTTCAAAAATTGACTTCTTGAATTCAAGCAACTTCAATCTATCTTTAATTTTTGTTCTTTTTTGTTTCTTTATTTTTTTTAGCTTCCGCTCGTTTCTTGATTTTTCTTAGTGGTTCTTGGACCCTTATAATATTGTTATCAAGTGGTATCAGAGCATAGACTAATCAAAATTTCAATCTTGATGATCTTGGAAGATTCTTGAGCAGAAAACAAAATGAAAATATAAAAAAAAACAAAAGAAATCAGCCCAAAAAGAAAAGTGTTATTGCTCATTATTATATCAAAATTCAAGTATTATTTGGTTTCCAAGTCAAGAAAAGAAACAAGAAAAGGGGATCATAATTCTTGAAGATTATTAGAGACAATATCAATAGAAATTGTGAGATTTTCCTTGCACTCTTGTGTGTGGCTACTCTTGGATTTATTCTTCAAGACTCAACTTAAGGTGGTAAGATTAAACTCAATTCGAAATCTTAGATCACTTCTAGATATTTAAGAAAGGTGATAAGTTTAGGCTTATTGTTGTTCTTGTTATTCTAAAGGGTCGGGTTTCACAACCTATTTCTTGTTTTAATTCTCTATCAAAGGAGATTAGTTCTTGGTTAGCTAATTGTTTTTTTTAGGATTCAACTTCAAAAATAGACTTCTTGAATTCAAGAAACTCTTTCTTGAATTCAATCTATCTTTAATTTCCGTTCTTTTTTATTTCTTTTTTTCTTTTAGCTTCCGCTCGTTTCTTGATTTTTCTTAGTAGTTCTTGGACCCCTATCATATTGTTATCAACTTTGTTCGAAAGCAGCTACAGGAAGGTCTGGTTTCCTTGCATTACATTGCCACCAACGACCAGCTTGCAGACCTTCTTACCAAGTCACTCACAGGCATCAAATACTCTACTATTTTGAGCAAGTTCGTCCAATTTGAGGGGGAGCATTGAGATTGTATTTATTCTTTTGTATACATTTTGTATGTTAGTTAAAGGTAGAGTTAGTAGGTTAGTTAGTTAGGATACAACTGACGATAGTTAGTGGTCAAGATGTGCAGTTGTCACTCTCTTTGCTTGTATATATGTTATTGTACATATTCAATACAATTGAGCTTCATTCTTCATCAAAGTATTCTTCTTCTATTTTCATTTTCCTCCTCTCTCTCTCTCTCTCTCTCTCTCTCTCAAAGGGACTCTTCAGAAGCTTCCAGATCCAGCCACTGGAGCTAAAATTGAGCTCCACTAAGCTAGTCTCAGTCACAATGTTGGTAATATTTAATTTTTTCGCTCCACCAAATAGAAACATCACACATGTTATCCTCCAACTATTTATTATAGTCATAAGTATTCCTTTTATTTATTGATAGTTTAGTTGTTATGTTAAATTTATGTTGTTTTCATTCAGAGGCGGACCTACCTGACCCCCGTAACCCGTTAGTTTCACAAAAAATACTATAAATATTTTTTTTATATTTGTATATACACTGGTGACCCCTCAAATAATTTATTTAGCCCCCTCAATAAACAAAAAGAAGGGTGGAAACGTTGGTTTTGTAACTTGCTCAAGCACTTCAATTACTTGACAGTTCGAGGTTCGAAACTGGCTCCAGCACTCCAACAAAGGGGTGAGCAGTTGAATGCTTTAATACTTGTACACAATAGTCAACCTAAAATTTTAACTTTTATCCTTTTCCAAACTAAAAACAAAACTAACCCTTCTGCCTCTCACTTCTCTTCTCCAAGCAAACTGCTCACCCCTTCTGCTGAAAAATAAAATCCCTTTTCCACTTCTGCTCGAGATCGAGATCAAATTCAATAGTCCGAATGGGCGACGGCTACAAAGTTTGAGACAATTCTTCAGCTGAAACAATAAGTTTATTTGAGTAAAATCTTAATCTTTATTTGAGTAAAAAATAATTTATTTTGAAAATATTAATTTGGCAAAATAATTTGGTATCAAATTTTTCTTTCTACAAAGAGTTTAAGAGCCAATAAGTGAACGCCAAATTAATTTTATAGGCGTTAGAATATTGTGTACTAATGTTATTTTGAGACATTCTTTCATTGAAGTGTTTCTTTTCAAACAAAATCTTTGAATTAAGGCATCTTTTATAGGATACATTTTTAAATGATTGTTTATTTTGTTACTTTGAGAAGAAAATATTTACAAATGTAAGTAACAATGCTATTATTGATCGTTTTCAAAATATGAAAGCACATCGCGTTCAAGTATGAGCGAATGATGTACTTTTCTTATATTAGCATATAATGATATTTGATAATATTAAGTTTGTGTTTTGTTGATAAGTTAGCAGACATTATGTTTTCATAGAGCTGCGCCGATTACTAGTAATTGGCATGCTCAAGACAATGGTTCCCCCGTCATGATCAAATTCTGGGTCCGCCTGTTTTCATCTTCTTGATGTTGTTACATTCTTTATCCGTAAAAGTATTTATGTGACTCAAGTCGTTACATGCCTTAGTTTTATATTGATTTTCTAAGTTTTTATATTCCGTACAATATTCTGGGGTTATGGGTGTTAGATGATCATGCTACGTTTTTAGCTTAAAAATGATTTATTAAATTATCTAGGTTATTGATTATAGGGTTAATAATACCCATAAGAATCTATCGATTTCTTATGCGCCTATTCAAGTTAAATTAATACCTATATTTCTATGGTATTAATATTAACTCAAATGCATTTACAAATTCTATTTCTCAACCAAACAAGGCAATTAAGTATAGTTCTATCTTAATTGCGAATCTTTCACCTGATGCCCATGATCCAGATCTTGCTCTATTTGATTCTATATGCAATCAAGAATTAATAGCAGAATCAAATAAACAACCCTTAACGATAATTTCAAGATCATCAATCTAAGCTTCAAACAACATAATTATCTAACACCCATAACCCCAGAATATTTGGGTTTTTAGCCACTCATAATTATACAAACATCAACAATATAAGTCATAAACATCAAATAAATAGATACTAGAAGAAAGTTTAGAAAAACGCTTTTAATCCTTGCTCCAAAGTGTTGTCTCCTCTTGATTTTGATCCTCCAAGATGGATCTCCTCGTCTCTTTAACTCTCAAAACAGGCTTGGTCCGTCAATAATGGATGCTTTTTTTTAATCGTGTCTGAAGGGGTTTTGACAATTATGCCCTTTTTAGACCAAAATAGAGTAAATCTGTGATTTTTACACGTTCGCGGTGCCCCCCACGGCTCACCCCGCGGCGTGTACATGGATTGGACAGAGGCAGAATGTATTTTAATGGAGCAAAACAATGCAGCGCAGATTTTTGCACTGCCCCGGTGCCCCCAACGGCGCGACAGTGCAAAATTTTGCGCTGCTTCGTTTTTTCATTTGTTTTGCCATCCGGGCTTGCTTTGCGACCCCCGAACACGATCCCTACTTGATTTATTTAGCTTTTACTCAGACTTCAAAGCCCCAAATCAATCAAATTCATCCCAAATTTATTTCTTAAGTCGGATTAGCTTTCTGCAAGGCATAAAACATGAATTTAGTATAATTCATTATCATTTAAGCTCAAACTTTTGTAAAATGCAATAATTAAAGTGTTGTTACAACGACTAAAACACGAGTTTTTAGCCTATGATCAACACTCCACACTAGACCATTGCTCGTCCTCGAGCAATTAACATACATTTCACATAAGGACGACCTTTTTATCAAGCAATTTTTCTAACAACACATGCTGACACTTAAGTACCAATTCATAATAGTTCAACCTCAAGACATGAC